TTTGGGATTCAGACATTTCGACGAGTGACTATTTGGGCCTGTGCTGAACACTTGGTGTTGACGACATTCCCATCTTCCCCTCTTCTTCGTCTAACCCCCATCTCCTTCGTCTGTGTATGGTTGGGGCTGGTGCAGTCTTCCTGTGTGAAGCGCCAGACCCCTTCACACCATGGAATAATGATGATGATGTATGTTTGGGGCTGCATTGCAATATTGATTGTTCGGATCATTGGTATCTAAGTCTTCCGCTGTGCTATCTTATACTTTGTATTGAAAGGTCGGTTCTTGTTCTGGTCTGCACCTATACGGTATGCAACAGGCGCCCAGCGCCCAGCCTACACTACTTGCCTATCCTACTACATCCGCATTCACGCAACAGGCTGACTTCGACTCTGAAGACCAATGTACATGATGTCAACACCATAGCCGACCTCCCTCATGCACCAGGTACGTATCCCGTCTCCACTCATCAGACCCTGACCACCCACACTCTCCTCCTTCCTGAAGACCACCGATCGCCCCTTACCCCCTAGCGCCCTGCAGCCCGGATATGGCTGCCTGCGCTCTGCTGCCCAGCAGCGCCCCTCTCACCTCTCAAGCGCCCGCACGCACCCTGCCGCTAACGCAGCATGCAACCAATCGCGCAGCAGTGCAGCAGCGTGACCGCAATGCCTGTGTGGGCCAGCATGCCTCACCCTGGCTGCCTCCTTCCCTATATGGAAGTGGCAGCCTCTGTTTGGCTGCGTGTGGCCTGGCTGGGAAGCTTCCAGCGGCTTCCGGTCTGGCCCCAGTGCCTGCGCCCAGGCCCAGCTGTGCCCTCGAGGTGAAGGACCCTTTACAGTTGGGCATGGCCAGTATTTCCAGACTTGGGCCGTTTTGCTGCATTTGCACAAGACCCGGGGTATGTACGTCGACAATGCTGCTTTTTCGTAGGCCCGTAGCCAATTCATGATGTATCTGCCTTGCATTGTGTGTGTGTGTGTGTGTCCAGGCGCAACTACCAAGGCCTGGGCCCAACTGTATGGCGCAACACAGGGAGGCTCGCGCTTCCTCTCAACCGACTGCTGTGCTGCAACTGCCTGAGTACCCACATATGGAAAATGTCGAATTTTGGCCTCTGGTGAATATTCAGGCCTGCCTTCACTTAGGGCGGGCACAGGGCTTGCTGAGAGCCTCAGCCCAGAACATGTGCATGTCTGATAAGGGCCCTGCGAGGGCTCATTCCTCGCACGTGGCTCCGAAAAAAGAAAAAAAAAAGAAAAAGAAAAAAGACGAGGACGAGATGAGAACGACTACTATTCTGTGGTTTCACCTTCCAGGCTTCTTCCATCCTCTACAACAAAAAGTATCTGATTTGGTTGCAGTCACTGGAGAGTTTTGTATCACTCCTTAGCACTCCCATCCTCCTATAGCAACAGGTGTTCTATAGTATTTGCTGGACTTTTCAGGGGAGAGTTTTGCCTAACTGTCTTTGAATATCTATGGTTGAGAATGTCAGCAACCTGGAGGGGAGGCACAGTGACTGGCCCATCGAAGAGATAGGCCGTTGGTCCCCCCGAGCAGCATTGAGCAGAGACTGCTAATGTTCATAGGGGGAGGGGACGAGAGGGGAGGCACAGTGACTGACCCATGGAAGAAGCTTGGTCCTGATGCTACCGGCTAACCCCTGGCCAGTATTACCTACCTGCTGTAGCAGGTATCACACCTGCCGGTGCGTGCAGCTCTCGCATGTTCCCTTGTTCGAGGCTTGAACACGGATATGGCTGGTAAGGGGTTCCCCGTAATGCTATAATGTTGATAAAGCGGGCCTGAAAGGCCGTCCTGTCCAGATTCAACAGGCACTTGAATTGGTTGGGCTTAAAAGAATTAGCCTTTGAGAGTTTGCAGGGACATGGGTTGAGGAAGTGTTTAGAATCTCTCTCTCTCTCTCTCTCTCTCTCTCTCTCTCTCTCTCTCTCTCTCTCTCTCTCTCTCTCTCTCTCT